GCTACTCATGTGATAACACAATAACATCACACACACACATACACACAAATGAGTATATGTATAGTATGAAATTTGAACATGCCCTGTGGATCAGTCCACTGTGAATTTCCTGGTTGTGATACTACACAATACTTATGCAGGAGGTTAACACTAGGGAGGGCTGAGTGGAAGGTATCACAGGACCTCTTTGTCCATTTCCTTTCAACTTCTTGTGACTCTATAACTATTTCAAGGGGTTGGCAGGTGGTGTGGTGGTTAAGGCGCTGGACTCTCACATCATCAACCACAGTTTGGGTCCCAGACCAGGCAGCTTGCTTTCTCACTCTTCCCTCAACTCCCGCTTCATGTCCTATGGTAAATTAATAATAGAATCTCTGCCCTCACTGAGCTTAAAGTGGAGAGTTAGACAATAAATAAATAAACAGATAAGATGGTATGTTAAAAGGTGGTTAAGGAGGCTGGCAGGTAGTGTGGTGGTAAAGGTACTGGACTCCCATATAGCCGGCCACAGCTCAAGTCCTGGACCTGGAGGCTTGCTTTGTCACTTTCTCTCTCTGATCAAATAATAATAATAAATAGAATTAAATAATTCTTTTTTAAAAAGTGATTAAAGGGCCAGCACATAATGTGGAGGTTAAGATGTTGGATCCCATATGGTCAACCACACAGTTCAAGTCCCAGACCCAGTGGCTTGAAAATCATACTGGTGTGTGTATGTACATGCCCAAAACTCCAACAGGAGAATGGAGGAGAAGGAATTGCAGCATGGCCACTCCCCAGCCTGGGAGGATCATTTCTCATTTCTCTGTGTCTCTCTTTGCTATAGGTACACATGCCCTATAACAAAACTTTTTTTTAAAGGGCAAGTATTAGAAGGGGCCCCAAGCATCTTATGTCTTCAGTGTTTCCTCTCTAGACCTAAGGGATCAGCATCCAATTCCTCAAGACAGAAACCTGAAACCAAGTCTTTTTAATTTTATCTCATAAGCATCTCTTAATTTTATGTTTTCTCTTTTTTTTTAAGTTTGTTATAGGGCCCATGTGCTCAATGGAGAGAGGCAGAAAGAGAGAGAGAGAGAGAAAATGAGAAAGCACCTCCCAGGGGGAATGACCATGCCACAATTCCTTCTTCTCCATGTATGCACATGTGCCTGGCATGTGTTTTGTTTTTTGTTTGTTTTGCCTGGTGTGTTTTTCAAGCTGCTGGGTCCAGGACTCAAACTGTTTAGTTGGCCCCGTGGGATCCAGCTGCATCAAGCACCATGCGACCAGCTGGTCCTAGTTATCAAAATATTTTTAAAAGATGGCACCCAGCAATGGTAGAGTTGTAAAACATGAGGCTCTGAGGGCTGACCCACATGAAAGGGTTCCCAGAGATCCTGAATTCATGGGGTGCACACACACCAGAGATCAGGGCTCTCAGTGACGAGGGTAGATCACAGTCTCAAGACCCTGTTGAGGGTGCTGTCTCTCTTTCTTGCTTACTCATGAAAGAAATCATTTTTTCTTTTTTTTTTTTTTAAATAAGGTGTGTATGATTGCGGCATGACCATCCCCCCTGGGGGGTGATTTCTCGCTTTCTGTCTCTATGTCTCTGTTCTGT